TTCCGCCAGCCGCGTGGCGCGGGCCCCGTCGTGTTGCGCCACGTTCCGCCAAGGTCCGGGGAGGGGGGAGGGGGCGGGGCGGAGGCCGTGACGATCCCCTCCCAAAGCGGTCGTGCTCGCGCCGGCGGGAGACACGAGCCTGCCCTGGTTTGGTCGTCAGCGGCCGGTCACGAGAGCTCGTGAGGCGGAGCCGAGTCAGCAGCTCTGCTCCGCCAGCAGGGCCACGGGGTCGGCCGCGGCCGTGGTCGTGTCCGGCGGCCAGGAGCGCGCCGCCGCCGAGAGCGGGCCCGGCGGCGACAGCTCGCTGCCCTTGCGACATTGGTGCGCGCAATACACACCACTGCAACGCCGGCGCGTTGGGGTGCAGCACTGGACCGCATGCGATGCAGATCTGCTGTGCACGCGCTCACCACGTGCTCCGGATCCGGGGTTCAGGTCCCTCAAGGCTGTACTTGCGTTGTCGGCTACCAACGAGAGCATGCGTTTCATCGCTCCGCGGTCACCGAGGTTTAGCGGGTCAACGCCGCGTGCATCTGCTTCGGATCAAAGGTCGCCAAACACTGGCGACGGGCAAGTCGGCGCGCAGCGGCGCACAGTGTTACCATGCGGCCTCTCGACGCGATTAGCTGGGGGATTGCGACGATAATAACCTGGCGTGGTGAGGTGTGGCGGTGCGTCGAAAAATAATCGAACCCCATGACCACCACCCGACACGCAACGAATCACCCGGCAAGCGAGCGCCACCCGTTGCGAGTGTGAATGTCTGCTCCCCAGGCTTTGTCTCGGAACAGTGTTTGAATCGGGATGACGGCATGGGCAGATCCCAAGGCCGCGGCTGCTGCCGCACGGCGCGCCACGCTCGTCGCCGCCTGCGCAGCCTCGCTCCACTTCTGATCAGCAGCTGTGCAGCCAATGTCAGAATGTGTCCATGTGTCACCGTGTTATCGTATGTCACGGGCGCCGCCGCGATGCGCGCTTATGTCACGGCGCTCTGGCCGAAGCCGGCGACGACCGGACTGTGACGTCACTGCCAGTGCAACGGCCGGCCCACCGCGGGAGGATGTGCAGGCTGGATGGAGGGTCTGCCGAGTAGGGATGGGGTGGAGAAAGGGATGGCTGCCGAATAGACTGAGCCAGATAAGCGCGCTAACACAGGAATTACGGACTAATACTCGATACGCCGCTGACATCGTTTTGCGTGATCAAGCACTGAAACTGGACAAAGGCTGTCAGGGATAGGGCATGATCAGGCGTTTCTGGTGAAAGCAAGGGGTATACGCTGGGAGATTCGTGACGCCAATGGAATGGAGTAAGGATTTCTTCACATTGGTGCCTCCCTCGGCACGGTGACAGGAGCTCGGGGAGCGCCAGGAATCCCAAGTTAAAAAGCATGAAAACCGACGGGACACAAAAATGGTCCAGAGGCCGGCTGCTGACAACTCCCATCAATCCTTATCTGCCCAGTCTTGGAAGTGACCTTTGAAAACGCGAAAACACAAGCCCTTTCGGCATCCAAAGTCCGTCTGAAGCAAAGTGCGTCATCCATGTTCAGCGCTCTGGGGGCCTGCGTCCGCGTGTGTTTCTGTGTGCGTCTGCGCCCGTGATTGTCAAGGCGTTCTGGCGTTCGCAACATTTTGAGTCAACTTGTTTAGTCTTTGGTGACCTCACCAGCCAGCCAGCTACCACCAAGTTCATTACTTCATCTCAGGGCCCATGGGGTCATGCGGAAACTAGGCCTAAGCGATGAGCGACCATGGTGGGACCATGAAGCGTACCTCGGGAACTTCACATATGCGCTAAGTCATCGCCACGTGGCCAACTGAGCCGATAGTGCTGAATGGCTTCTGTGATAAACTTGGTTATCGAGAAGCGAAGCAAGAAAAGAAACGAGAGCAGTAGGACGGTCGATGTGTTCCGAAATGTTTGGATATCCCTGCGATAGACAGGGAGCCGCGATGACTCAGGCACTTTCTAAAAACGCCAGATTCCGAAACGATTTAAACCATACAACGCCATGGCATCGGCGCGTGCCTGCTGTCGCCAGCTCCATTCAACGCTGCTGGACGCAAAGTTTTGCAAACCATTGAGTGAAATAGCTTTTAAGATGGTAACTAACACCTTTGATCTTGTCATAAATTTCAGTAGAGTCAAAGCAAAAAGGTGTGTAGAGCATCGACACAAATATAACAAATGACGCAGTTCTCCGGACGTAGCGCGTAATATTTTTTGACAGCGCTTATTCCTTCTCCGCGTGCGTTATAAACAGCCCGGTGGCCGCAGCATTCAACCGTGGGGTCAAAGCTAATTCGAGACGTGGCGCGCTAAATACAGTGTGGGAAAGTCCAGAGTTGTGAATGAAGAGGAAATATCAGATCGACCTGCAACGCGTCAGCGGCGTTTCAGCTGTGTCGCGTGCATGCATGGATAACAAACGCACGCTTTCAGCGGTGTGTGACGCATGTCGTCTAGCAGCCCGTTGACGGCGCGCCAGCGATGCGGCGGTCCGAGTCTCAACCAGTAATTCGAATCCACGCCTCCTATGTGAAAATGCGAAGTCGGAGTCGAAAGCACCGAGCGAAACCCCCGCTGAGCCAGTCTGTACCCCAGTGGGGCATCCTGCGACGGTGGTGGACAAATGTGGCGAGAGCGGCGGATGGGGATGGGGGAGGGGGGGGGGGGGACAAGGACTCTTCCGACTTAAACTTGAATGACGGGCCGGGCAGAGTTGCCCTCTAAATTAAATTTGAACGATGCGGGAGCGGAGGGTGCGACGTCCCTCCGACCTTCTGGTCATGAAGACGAACATGACATTACATTAGCCATCCCACGTTAGAAGCATTACCTGATCGCAGTAACGATCAAATCTATGGCATCGTAATTTGTGAATTTGTGTAAAAAGTCAACATGTCTGGAACGCTATAAGTCAGCCGTCATAAAACCTCTGGTCCCTAATAAAATCGGTCGTTTAACACTAACGATTTCGAGGTGTACGGCAGTTGCCATACCATCTGTGAGTAGAAGGGAAGGCATAGTTCTTAGAAGCGACTAGTCAGTTAATTTATTGCACCGCTTTGAAGACATGTGACAACCCATCGGGCTGTGAGCTGATTAAAATCCAGCGCTGAAACATACCATGGTCGTTATAGGTTTCGATTTTTTCAAACACCTCACGTGTTAAACATGGCAGAGATCTCAAGCTACACCAATTCATTTCTTGAAATGTCTTTCAGGTCGGGCTCCCCACAAATCAAGTGAAAGAACCTTTTTGCATGCCAAATGTGGCCCTTGCACATGGCGCAAGAGCCCTCGGACATGCAGACATTTCGGACGCTCAAAAATAAATAGGTGCGAAGGATATCCATACTGAGTTACAAAATCTCAAGATCTGCCACAAAGCCGAGTCCAAGCAAGAACGCAAGATAAGAACGACGCATTCCAGCCCCGGCACGCACTTTTACACCCGCAAGAACTGCAAGAACTGAACTGTTCTTGGCGCCACAGAAGCGCCAACCTACTGCTCTCGACCGTGAAAGCTAGGACGTCTTGGCCATCTAAGGACCGCCGCCGCGTGAAGCTCGCCTCTCTCCCAGGAAGCACCCAACCGTTTCGCAGCTCATGATTTGTCTCTCGGGATCCTTTAACTTGAATGATTCATGGTCACCTCGTGCTCAGAGGCGCTCGGAACCACGAACCGGGCTAATCTTACGCCAAGGACTCGCTTAAGCTTGTGCGACCCACAAGCCTAGTATATTGTCTTTAAATGCAACGGCTTCACACACGTGCAATAGTGACCAGTATGGCGTTTTGCGCGGCGTGGGCGAGCGTGGCGACTCCGATGCGAGACCTACCAGTTGTTGTGATATAAATAATGCTAAAACCTAAGGGAAGGAAGCCGGCTACCCCTGGTAACCGATCCTTGAAAAGCATGCTTTTCACAACATTTTCTTAGCAAGGGGACTGACTACTGATAAAACCGATGTAGCGTTTGCGCGCGCCTTCAGTAATAGTATGGCATGAGCACCTGACGCTCACATGTACAGTCGCAGGCCCAGTCAGGACCCAGGTCTTAATCGGCGACATCGATGTCATCGCAACAATTAACTGTTTTGATGGTCGTGACCGAAACATTGCAAAGCACCAGAAAATGAGGCTGGATATTGGCAATCCATCAATCCCTCTAGGTCACGGTCTCGGTCGGTCTCATCTAACGTAGATGATTGTCCTATCTAGAATGCAATCGTCGATCGCCGCTGCAAAAACATAAACTTTTTTTTAAATCTGAAGAATGGTTTCCCGACGTCGTAACGTTAAGTGGGCTAAACCTGCTGAAAGATGTGATTTTGATTATGAGTTTAAATCATCCAGCCTTAGAAGTTTCCACGCTCCTGAACATGACACAAGTTAAGAAGCATGCACTGCTTCGGGCGGGTATGACGGTCTGGGTGTGTTCCATGCACATATATTGGTTATCACGAAGCGTATTATATAACTTTCTTGAGGTGAGATCTCGGCTACAGATAGAACGACAGATAAAATATAGGGTCTCCAGTCTTTATAACAGCACGCTTCACATCACAAAAATAAACCATAACACATACTCCTACTACACATATAACTGATGCATTTTTAAGAGAAGTCAAAAGAAAAAAGCCATGCCATGTCGACCAATAAATCCCCATCTTCTATACCAAGGCAGCGTCAATTTTTATGCCGGACATGCTGAATAATGTGTCAGAAAACACGAAACCCCACGTTTAGATAGCGCTGCTCTAGCGTTACAACTATCAAGAGCAATAAATACACCCATTATTCTGCTCACGTGGCACTTTTGAGCCTACTGTTAAACAAAGGCGGAAGTCAGTAGTGATGCTAGATACATCATATCAGAAATGAACGCCAGGCCAAACACTATCAGAAGACGATAAGCAGACTTATAAGTGGGACGTGTTTTATACGGGATCGGAAGAAGGAGGCACAAAGCCAGCTTTTGAAGCAAGACATTGAACATAATAGCTTTATTATTTGTCGACGCATGTAATTGGCACGATAATATGTAATACACTATGCTATGAAAAACGATTGGCCGGACTCAAGCCAGCTATTGCAACAAAAAAGAACGTGCCCAGGACTGACGAGATGATTGCGAGTTTACCTTGCAGGATGCCTAGCTCTAGCGTGGGGGTAAAAGGCGCACTAACGAAACAAGGTGGCCCCTTTCATGCTGAGTTTGATAGTGATCACTGAGATTTCACTATTTACCCGCGGCAAAAATAACTCGTCTTGTGTAAACGGATGATGCAGTGCCGACGGTAGAAACGAAGTGAGAACGGAAGCAAAACAAATGCCACACATTGCACGCCAACGTCTGGGGCGTGCAACCGATTGGCTTATCGTGCATGTTGCATGATAACAGCTTACCGGCCGTGCAATGCCTTTCGCTCAGTGCCCATTAAATAAACTGATTTGAAACAGCAGGCCCGACAATTACCCCGCGTCAGCACAGCAACTAACATTCACATCACATAAAAACATCCGAAGTATATCACAGACGCGACAAGGGCAATTTCGGCGCCCCGGCCGGCACGCCTTCAGCGAGCGGGCCGGTGCGCGCCACGCCGCCACCGCCGGCGTGTGCGCCCTGACCCGCGCGCGCCGCAGTCAGGGCAGCGCCGGCCGCCGGTCCGCTGTGCCAGTGACCACGCAGGGGAGGCAGGATCGATCGGCGCACTCCGGCGTCCCCTGGCGCTCGGCCTCCCCACGCCTAGGCCGGGACCGCGCCGCCCTCGCTCCAGCCGCCGCCGCCGCGTCGCTCCGGCCGCCGCCGCTGCGTCGCTACGACAGCTCGAACCCGGTGTTGTTGCGGATGGCGTACCGCAGCTTGTCCCGGAGCGTGGTCTTCTTCTGGTAGTTGGGCAGCTTCAGCAGGTTGAAGCAGGTGGACGATGTGGGCAGCCGGGTGACGGGATCGCGCCGGCGCACCGACAGGAAGCCGCGCAGCATCGAGCCTGCCGGCGCAGTCAGAGCGGCTCAGCTGGCGGCGGCGGAGCGCCGGCCGGTGCCTGTCGCCCACGCACGCGTCACAGCTGGTACAACCCAGCGACGACAGCCACATCTCTACACTGGCCACCACTGCTAGACATACTCACAGCAGCAGTAGGCGCATCAGCAATGGCCATAATATTCCGCATTATCATCTGTCCGGCACACATTGACAGCCGGTGACACATCCCACCATCGGCTGCAGCACCCAGGCACACGTGACTGCTGTGACCTACCTCTGTGTGACACATAAACACATACCTGGTCATATACCACACACAAATCTCGCTCGCGTATACACCAACAGAGGCGGCCCAATCCTAAGTTAAACGTGCGTCCCCACCAGCGCTGACAATCGTGAACTAATGGGCCGCGCGCTCACAGCCAATACGCCGCTCAAGAGCTGACGCATGATCCAACGCACAAGCCGATGCGCTCTGACCAGACCAGTGTGCATTGTAGCCACCTCGGACGAGCCGTGGACGTGTTGCCGAGTACGTCACATGCTCGGCTTTGTTTGGGAGCTGCGGGCGCCGCAGACGCCTACGAACGCCGCTGCGTGTATTTTATCTACAAGCCCGGCTTATTTCTGCAGCAGGTAGCCTGTCAAACAGCGACGAAAACACAATCCCGCATCCTGTTATCGGCCATGTTTGTCCTGATAGGCGGGATGGTCTGACCCCGCTGGAGCGGTTCTGCGCGGGCAGCTGCCAGCGGTGTCGCTTCGGACATTAGGGGAGGGTCTGACCCCGCCACGCAGACCGCGGCCGGTGGCGTCGCTTCGGACATTAGGGGAGGGTCTGACCCCGCCACGCAGACCGCGGCCGGTGGCGTCGCTTCGGACATTAGGGGAGGGTCTGACCCCGCCACGCAGACCGCGGCCGGTGGCGTCGCTTCGGACATTAGGGGAGGGTCTGACCCCGCCACGCAGACCGCGGCCGGTGGCGTCGCTTCGGACATTAGGGGAGGGTCTGACCCCGCCACGCAGACCGCGGCCGGTGGCGTCGCTTCGGACATTAGGGGAGGGTCTGACCCCGCCACGCAGACCGCGGCCGGTGGCGTCGCTTCGGACATTAGGGGAGGGTCTGACCCCGCCACGCAGACCGCGGCCGGTGGCGTCGCTTCGGACATTAGGGGAGGGTCTGACCCCGCCACGCAGACCGCGGCTGGTGGCGTCGCTTCGGACATTAGGGGAGGGTCTGACCCCGCCACGCAGACCGCGGCCGGTGGCGTCGCTTCGGACGTTAGGGGTGGGTCTGACCCCGCCACGCAGACCGCGGCCGGTGGCGTCGCTTCGGACATTAGGGGAGGGTCTGACCCCGCCACGCAGACCGCGGCCGGTGGCGTCGCTTCGGACATTAGGGGAGGGTCTGACCCCGCCACGCAGACCGCGGCCGGTGGCGTCGCTTCGGACATTAGGGGAGGGTCTGACCCCGCCACGCAGACCGCGACCGGTGGCGTCGCTTCGGACGTTAGGGGTGGGTCTGACCCCGCCAAGCAGACGGCGGCCGGTGGCGTCACTTCGGATGTTAGGGGTGGGTCTGACCCCGCCACGCAGACGGCGGCCGGTGGCGCCGCTTCGGACGTTAGGGGTGGATCTGACCCCGCCACGCAGACGGCGGCCGGCGGTGTCACCTCCGGCGGCCGCACTCTCCACTCCGGCTCCGCGCGGGCCGGCAGCCAGTGCGGCCGCAGCCTCACACACTCGCCCGTTCGGCGGGGCACCACCACCTCACTCGGCGACGCCGGCGCCCTTGGGGCCGTCACTGACGTCACTGTTGTGCTCCTCTCGACGCCGGCCGGGTCAACGCGCTGACAAAAGGGCCGTGGCACGGCACTTATTGCGGGCACGCTCGAGCTTCTGATGGCGCCTTCCCGGCGAGAACAAAGCCACCACACCCGCCAGCGAATATCGAGAAGCTAATTATGAACTAGAACCATGACACCAGCCCATCACTTCAACGGGCAAACCAATTCGCTTCATGCATAGCGGCGAGGCTTTGGTTCCGCCGACGGCCGACAGCGTTTTGGCAAGCGCCAAAGCCTGGGTCGTAACGTTTCCGCTGGCCTGGAATGTTTTCAATTGTGTATTCTTCCCACGCAAGGTATACTGACGCCTTCTAAGATGACGAACACAATTCAGTCACAAAAGTACTCTGAACTAATATGATGTCCTAAGGTGGATAAAGCCAAAGCGCATTTGTTCAGAACATATGTGGTAGTAAACATGGAGTCCAATAGAGGTGTTCATTATAAACAATTTCAAATACAAAATTTGAGCTATGTAGAAATAATTGTATTGTCTTACAGCTCGAACCGGGTGGTTAATCTAGCAAGCACCTATGACTAAAGCTCCCATTTGCCACGGAAAGCAGTACATTTAAGGGTACATCGAATCTCTAAAATTGAATGGCATAACTTTGTAAGTCGCTGGTTGCTGACATTTGTGGACCTTGCAAAAACCATGAATTAAAAGGCCGGTAAAACGACCCTGTTTATTCTCTGCTCGCCCGTTTTGGCATGAGCCTCCACCCTTCTAGCGCCACCCGGTGCGGTACACGGAAAGCAGACCGCACCCAGTCCCTACCCACACAAAGACCGGACCCCACGCGGTCCGCACGGCCCGCTGCGCACAGCCCGGTCTGCAGAGAACCGGCGCCGCCCGGCCGACAGAGCGCCCCGGCCGGGCCAGCGCGACCGGGGCGCTCGCTGGAGGCGCAGCAGCACGCCGGCGGGGGCGGGAGGCAGTGGTGTCACGCCGCCACCTGCGGGCTGGGGCTGGGGCGGGGGCGGGGGCGGGAGGGGTGATGTCACGACCGCCGCCGCCGCGCGGTCTAGCGCGCCGCCCGCGCTGTGCGTCACGCCAGGGTGACGTCATGCTGACAGTGGCGCAGCGGCCGGCCCCGCAGGCGGGCCGTCACGCTGTGACCCCTCCCCCCGCCCCCTTCAACACGCGAGCAGCGGCTGGCACATCGGCCGACAGCGCTGTTCAGCTGCCGGAGAATGGTGGGGCCATGGGAGCGGCGAGGCTCCGACCACCAGCGCTCAGAGGGCGAACGTGCTGAAAATCGACGGGTTGGGATCTACGTTCCAATAAGGTCCAGCAAACGTGGATATCCTGGACGGGAGTTTCTGGACAATGCACATTCCGAGAGAAGGCCTTTGTCAGTCCCGTCCGTCCCTCCGATTGTTCGCCTCCGTAGCGCAGTTGGCTAGAGCAGGCGCCCTCCGGTTCACCCACTCGTGGCGGGACGAGTTCGAGTCGCTATTTGCGCCTTGACTGAGATGAGACGACTTGCGCGGCCGGTGGCAGCAGCCGCGCTAAAGGTCAGGGGACGTCAGAGGACGGGACGGACCGTGCCGAGCATTGCGGCACGTTAAGCCCCACCGCAAAGTTCTGCCGTTGATCTGGATTTCACGTCCAGCTGGCGGGGTCCGGACTCACGCAATGAGCACTGCTTAAGAAGAGCTCTGATCCCGGAAAACCATCCATTCAAATGAATCACACGAAATCTGCGCCTGGTCTTCTGAGTGTGGACGCCCTTAAGCGCCCGCTTTCTCAGTACGGATATGGTCTGAGAATACAGATTCTAAAAACCTGACCTTCTGAACATAGAACTAGGTCTTCTCGGCGTGGGCCCTGAACCTACGTCTTCTTAACGAGGGCCTCGAAATTAAGTCTTATTACACCACGTCGTTTCAATGTAGTATGAAGTGTAGTCTTTCGAGGTGCGATCTTCGGTGCGCAGGTCGTCTTGCTTAACCACTCGCATTGGTGAATGAAATGCGAAAATTAAGATGTGCCAAAGTGCGGCAATATAACTGGGAAAAACTCTCATCCCGGCAACGACCTCTAGTACAATAGTAACGTCAGTGCTGGCCTGGTCACGCCTTGCTGTGACCATGACCCACGACGACCCGAGTCTGGCCTGTAACACATACCTGACTCCGGTATCGCTCTATCGCACGCGCAGGACTCCGACACTGACCAATGATGTGTACCTACGACTTCGACACTGACCAATGCTATGTACCTACGACCTTGACGCTGACCAATGGTACGTACCCCTGACTCCGATACTGACCACTGCCAATAGTTCGTACCTCTGACACCGACACTGGCCGATGGTACGTACCCATGACTCCAACACTGACCAGTGGTATGTACCCATGCCCCGACATTGACCAGTAGTAGGTACCCCTGACCCTCACACCGACCAATGGTACGTATCCCTGCCTCCGACATGGGCCAATGGTATGCACACCTGACTCCGACACTGGCCAATGGTACGCACCCCCAACTCAGACACCGACCAATGGTACGTATCCCTGACTCCCAACACTGGGCAGTGGTACGCGCCCCTGACTCCGACGCTGACCAGTGGTACGCACCCCTGACTGCCGACACTGACCCTTGGTCGATTCTGATCCCGATACCGATCATTGTAATGCACGCCTGACACGACACGACACTGGTACGTACCCCTGACTCCCGACACTGACCAATGGTACATATCCCTGACTCCCGACACCGACCCTTGGTCGATTCTGATCCCGATACCGATCATTGTAATGCACGCCTGACCCCAGCGTTGACCTACAGTACGCACCTGACCTACAGCGCACACGTAACAATACCTGAAGATACTTAACAATACCTGGCCATACTTAACAATACAGAATGTGCCGGACCGCGGCTGAATGGCCTACAGTACACTTCTGAAGCCGGCGCGCCGACCTTAGCGTAAGCTTGACACCAATACTAACCTTCAGCACGGGCATCACCCCTGCGGTGCCGGATCGCGACGCAAGTACTGACCTATCGCACATGACGGACCCATGCACCTGTAGTACATGACGGACCCATGCACCTGTAGTACATGACGGACCCGTGCACCTATCGTACATGACGGACCCATGCACCTTTAGTATATGACGGACCCATGCACTGACCTCACGTGCACGCACGGCACCGCTGTAACTCACAGTCCCCATCATACTTACCGATAGGGCCCCCAGCGCTGACCCAGCACCGGCCTGCTGCGACCTCGGTATGCTTACCTAACATGGCCCAGGTGCATTGGCCTATCATGGTACCTACGCACTGGCGGATTCCGCCTGCGGTGTTCTAACTGATCGCGCCCGAATACCATGTCGTCACCCCAGTACTGACCCATCGTGACCCCAGCGCTGACCCATCGTGACCCCAGCGCCGACCTATCGTGACCCCAGTATTGACCTGTCGTGACCCCAATACTGACCTTTAGTGACGCCGGTACTGACCCATCATGACCCCAGTTTTGACGCGCCATGACCCCAGTGCTGATCTATCATGACCCCAGTACTGACCTAACGTGACCCAAGTACTGACATACCGTGACCCCAGAACTGATCCATCGTGAACTCAGTCGCACGTCCGGTACTGACCTATCGTGTCTCCAGTGTCGTCGTCGTCGCCCACCTCCACGCAGCGGATGGAGAAAGGCGGCTCCAAGTGCGCGAAGCCCATCAGCGGAGGGTTGGAGCATGACGTCACGAACTGAAAACAAACAACAAACGAACAATGTGACGTCAGAGACGCTGAAAAGTGGAGAAACCCATTAGTGCAAAGGGAGATTGACAATGACTCACTATAGCCGCGAATGTTATCGCCTTGCTTGTGACAGCACTACTACCATCTGAGAGAACAATGGAGATCCCTACCAAGCTTACATAAGGTTGAAGGCCAAATGCAGGTTTCTAGTGCGTTTCCAATGTTTCCATGGTCAAACGATAACCCGTATCACCGCACAACGCACAAGAGGGGGAGCCCAAGCGGGTTATCAGGCGCCGCCGCGCGGTCGACAGTGCACCTTAAGAAACATCTTCTTCTCCTCCTGCGTGAAGTCCTTGTCGAGCACATCCCAGAACCAGACGACGATGCGGTGCCGGTCGTGGAAGCCGCCGTAGTACTGGGTGTACTTGCGCAGCTCACGCACGTCCAGGTCCACGTTGTCGCCCGAGATCAGACGCTGCAGCTGCGGTCAGAGTCGACGGCGACGAGAGGTCAGGATCGGTGCACCCAGCTGTCTGGTGAGCCACAGCCAACGTCGTCTCCCGCAGCCGGACAGACAAACGCCGGCCGAGGTAGCCGACGCACCCTTTACTTCGAAGCATCATCCTCGGTAAACGGGCCAGTCGGCTCGACACGCTGCAGGAGCGGGCCAGCTGACGGCTGGCGGACGGCGACACTGACGCGTCAAACGCGGCGCAGCAGCAGCGTCGCCGCCGCCTGCTCCGGAAGTGGTCAGGCCTCACGGCCGATGACCCCGCCGTCCGACCGCGGCCGTCTCGCCGACAATCAGTATATGATTGCTACGACACTCGAGCTGGTGGTTGCCACGCTCCTACACAGATACACAGTGATAAAACCCCCGGCGCGTAGTACACGTTGCGCCGTATCAAGGAAACGGCCCAGCCTTACTGCGCCCGCTTCGGTATTGAGGTAGGTATTCGGCACAAAATATATATTTGCCTCGTCACAGAGGGCTGTGTCCGAGGAACTCTGAAACGCCGGCTTTAAAACGAAATGCGTTTTTTTTTCGCAACGGGACAAAGGAAAGACCAAGATAACCGGATCCAATGTTAGACGACCACGATCTAAACCAAGGATGATTTCAAATGGGAAAAAAACGATATCGAACAGGTCGTTATTTTATGTGTAGCGTCGTGCCGACTCCCAGATTAAGATTGCGTAAGTAACTAAGAACTACGTCCGGATGAAAGCGCTCAGATTCTGGAAAACATTTCACAATACCTCGGTTTAGTCTTGCGCGTTTGACAATCGTATTAAGCACTAAGCGCCAGCTGATATAGTTACACAGTTCACTTAAGCAGCAGTTTTTCCGGCCCACCAGACCGGTTCCAACTCGCACAACTCGGGCGAGTGCAGCATCCTTGTTTGTCCTATATCAGTGGAAAACTACCGGCAGAGGGGCCCAGTCTCGCGACCCGCTGACGTTCAGACTGTGACGAGCCAGCTGCGACGGACGGCGCTGCCCGCCCGTCCCTGTCCACAGCAGACGGCGTCCCAACCCGGAGTGTGTCCTGGGGAGTGTTCCACCCGGGTGTCTCGGTGTCCGACGGGCTTCAGTACAGCGTCCTCGCAGCGGCTTACACTATCACAAACACTGCAGCCGTCGGCCTCGGTGGTCCAGAGTCCCATAACCGTTACCCCCTCCTCAAGGAAGGGCCAGCCCCAGGCTCTGCCTGGAGCAGGCCGCCGGCCGTGGGCGCCTTCGTGCCCCACACACATCCGGCAGCCGTCGGGAGGCCCCAGCCGACCAGGGCCGGATCTCCGGCTCTGGGGCGGCGGGCCGGCGTCCGGCAGGTGACCGAGGGAGACCGGCCGCAACCAAGGGTCACCGCCGGGCGGTGCGGGTGAGGGACCGAGCGGGCGGCGGCCGGCCCGGGCAGGTGACCGAGGGAGACCGGCCGCAGCCACCGGTCACCGCCGGACAGGCCGTGACCGGACCGAGCGGGCGGCGACTGGCCCGGGCAGGTGACCGAGGGAGACCGGCCGCAGCCACCGGTCACCGCCGGACAGGCCGTGACCGGACCGAGCGGGCGGCGGCTGGCCCGGGCAGGTGACCGAGGGAGACCGGCCGCAGCCGCCGGTCACCGCCGGGCGAGCCGTGACCGGACCGAGCGGGCGGCGGCCGGCCCCGGCAGGTGACCGGGGGAGACCGGCCGCAGCCGCCGGTCACCGCCGGACGGTGTGGTGAGGGACCGAGCGGGCGCGGCCGGCCCCGGGCAGGTGACCGAGGGATACACCGGCCGCCCACGGTCACCACCGCGCCGTGACCGGACCGAGCGGGCGGCGGCCGGCCCCGGCAGCGGCGATCGTGCGTGGCTGCGCCGAGAACGTGCGGCTGCCGACCGCCGCCACCGGAGCCCCTCCCTCCTCTCCTCCATTCCACTTTCTGACCGCCGGCCGCGTGCAACAACACAGCCCACGGTAGGCCACATCGACACGCTTCAGGCACGCGAACTTGAGACACGTGACAATCTGTGGGAGTAAGTCCCACGTGGAACAATGCATAATGACTAGGGAATCATTATCCAGACCTGATATATCTAATATATATATATATATATATATATATATATATATATATATATATATATAGACGCTAGCATAGGTGCACTGGCAGATGTACAGACATACATACATGATAGAATACAGATTAGATAGCTTAGATTAGATATTAACATTCTGACGGTAATGTGTATTTTCAGGAATCATTGCAAGATATATATCTGATCTTCTGACTGGTTAATAACACTGCTTGAATCTGATCTTTTGAGTAGTTGATAAACACTGCTTGAATTAAGGCCAATTCGGAATGAGATCTTGCATGTATAGCCAGGCTACCATACACCGGATCAGAACGAGGGACGCTCTTCATACCACACAACGATCGCTTTGCGGATAAACTCCTATCATTCCACGACAACGTTCACAATAATTACCTTTAATCGTTTACGAGCAAGGTCGCAAGATCAAAGAGCACTTATCAAACGGGGAAAATGAGAGAACTTGAGCAGCTCGGCCCCTGTCCTCACTTGAGAAGCTAACTTTTCAACCACTGACTGCACATTCATGTTGGCCGCAAAGAGAAGGTCAATTTGTAAAAGTTGCGCTGTATGCACCGTGAAGTTTGTGCACGCTAGCTGCTTTGACTTGGCAGCTTTCGTCTTCGTCCAACATTCCTTTGTCACCACGATTCTCCCTCCCTCGTACGAGACAAACGAAACATAGATAATCCAATCGTGAAAAGTCAAATAACACGGATCGAAACTGGGTCCAGATCGTGGGGTCGCAGTGGCCTAGCGAATCGAGAGTGGCAGATTCTGAGGGAAGGATGAACTAGAGCATCAAGGATGTGGGAGACATGGACGATCACGTGCTCTGGTGCGCCAATCACGCCCCGTTTCGGGGCGTTTGTGGAGGACTGGTGTCAGATCTCAACATCGATAGCAGATGCTGGGACGTGAAGCGACTGCATGCTGTGGGTGAATGTGCCATTCACAACCTTTCGGATCTCACCACACCACACACACACACACCATATAATATATATATATATATATATATATATATATATATATATATATATATAAATGCGTCGATTATAGTTGCCCAACCTCAACAAATCGTTCTCAATTTTACAAGCGTTTCTTGTTTGTGATTTTTTGGCGTGATTGGCCTTTTTGAGAATTGGTAGTCAGATGCCCGATCTGTAAACTTCCGACAGCCGAATTCATACGAATGAAGCTTTTCAACACAATTATCAAAGCCGCTGGTATCAGTGTCCGAAATCCTGTTGCTTTATCCGCTTAGTTCTTGGCATCGTAGGCACATCTGGCCTGTCTCTAAGCCGACCACGTCAACACGACCGAACGCCAACAACGTCGGGCTTCGAACCCGCGACCGTGCACCGATCCCTCTGCGACAATGGTGTACCGTGCCCCAGCGACAGCAGTTCAAGGGCAGCTCTGTTGCCAAGGCCGGCCGCCTGTCGTGCGGCCGCGTCGTCCGCCCGCAGACGGCAGACGCGGCGGCGCGCACCCAGCCCCGCCGACGGCACGCAACGTCCACCCGCTAGCGACATCTCTCGGCCGCACACAAAAGCGTCAGTGCACTGCGCGCCGGGCAGACGGCGCCGCCGACTGACCTCGGGCGGAGAGAACATCTGCAGCCACTCGGGCCGGACGAGGGCGCGGAAGCCGCGCAGGAAGGCGGCCGTCTGCTCGCGGATCTGCGTCTGCATGCGAAAGTGCGCCAGGTGGTACACGTACTGGATCCTGGCGGCCGGAGGTGCGGAGCGCGGGTCAGCAGGCGGCCTCCCGACACATGGACGGTGGCGCCACCCGGCTCGCACGGACAAAGGTAATCAAGTCCAGAGGCGACTGCTGACTGGACCATCCCAGACAACAATAGCGCCGCGAATTCACGTATCACCATAGAAACATGTAGATACTGAAACACCATGCGGATGTGACGCTGCAAGGTGACCAATAAACTAGCATGTAAAATACCCAGTGTGGCCTAAAAACGTCCGCTCCGTACACAAGTGAACAGAGCGCAAAAACGCCACATTTCTGAACAACAGCACACAGCACTGCCCAGGCACAAAAAGCTAACGGGAGCAGTGTGCCAGCGCCCACTGCTTGACGCTTTGCTGACCTTTGCGATCTAATCGGACAGGCTTTCAGGCCACATGATTAGGGCTGTCACAGAACTGACAGGTGATCCTCTCCCCAGATTCACTGAGTCAACACTGACCCACGACATAATCCAACGCTGACACCTTAAAACATTCACGCAAGCGTCCCTGATAGTGTGGACCCAGCTGTAGCCGGCCGCCGCATTACGCTTCGAACCCCGCCGCTCATTTCCGATCCGAAGCTGCCGTCGTACGGACCAGGGCCGCGGCGGCCGGGGTACCGGACCCGGGGCCGGCCCCGCGTCGCCACCAGCAGCCGCGGCGGCGCACTCACTTGTTCTCGTTGGTGACGGGGATGACCCGTCCGCCAGGGATGAGGTCATAGGTCACCAGCTGGCCCATCACGTCCTGGTCGTAGGAGAAGGTGAGCCCCAGCTCCTGCACGTCGCCCTCGTAGCGCTGCGGCAGCCCAGGACGTGCGGTCGGCTCGGGTCGACAGGGCGGGGTGGGCACGCCGCCGCCGACCCGTCAGCCGGCCGGCTCCACAGCTACCGAGCGCCGAGTGCACCAGATCGCAGCTGAGGCACGTCACCACTAAGCCGACGTGCTTCACCGCTCAGACAAGGTAGCCAGCAGTGCGCCGCCGTGCATCAGAGTCAAGAGTAGCGTACACCCGAGCGTAGGCGAGCGATCTCCACCGTGGATCTATGCCGGGGTTCTCCCGGCATATGGTAAAAACATTCTGCGCGCGCGTGCACCGAGCCATCGTGACCTTAAGACACAAGCGGTCCGCAGTCCGTGCCGAACATACCCCCCCCCCCCCCGCGCACGGTCCCAGCGCCACACCGCAGCGCACTGAACTCGACACCGCGACGCCACGGTCAGGCCAGGAGGTCAGGCCGGGTCTGACCCACAGACGACGTCTATCGCGCACCAGGACCGTCATCTGCAGACGTTTGTGGGTCCCCAGCCGGACGTCCCGCGCGCACCAGTTCACCGCGTTCGCAGGTGGTGCTGGCGTCGACGGTACCTTGATGTAGGTGATGTTCTTGTAAAGCTCCGGATCCAACGACGGGAGCTCATCCACCGAGCAGTACAGGTTCTTGTGCGAGTGGCCCAGCAGCTCCGACAGGAAAAACGGCGCGAACGGCACGTCCACCACGATACCCTGCCAACCACGGGCGCGGGTCCCCACTCGAACACGGCCAACGTGCTCTAGACATGGTACGCTTGACGCGTGTTAAGTGTGTTGGGTGCTGGGTGCACGAGGAAAGCGCTACGGGCTACGGACACCGCATCGCATAGCAATGCTGCAAACAAAGGCATCTGTTGTCACAAAGAATGGCGTCAGCGCAACACCAGATCAAACATTTCATTTGGGACATCAACTGTGAGCATTCAGAAGGCATGATAGCGCGCAATCCGATTTTCGTGGAAGCCGACATCGAATCGCACCACCGTCATTCACGGAACCTGCCCACGGCGACATGCAACGGTGTCACCGAACCGGAGGCGGCAGCGCCGGGCGGACCAGCGCCGAGGCAGCGGCGAGGGGCGCGGGCGGCGGCTCGCACCTCATACACGGCCTTGCCCAGCATCTTGCCGACAAACTCGATCAGCTGCAGATGGTCGCTGTGGACGCCCGAGGCGGGCGACGGGTACAGGCGCTGGTCGCTGGTGGTCTGGAACAGGCTCAGGCCCGGGTCGAACACGCGGCGGATCGTCTCCTCCAGAAACTCTGCCGGACAGACGCGAGCGTGCATCGTAAGCCAGCGGCGACACCTCCTGATACCCCGCCGCGGTCATAACAGCCCGAGACACCCGTCAGCGCGCGGGGCCGCGTGTGCTCGGACTGGACTACCGGCGGCGCAGGGTCGTGGCATGCATAGTAACGCAGTACTGTGGGGGCGATAGCTTTTCAAAGGACCTTCTTGCTCCGGCGTTGCTTACTGGACAGATCTGAATCGGCAGCAAACATACCCAGCCTTTTCTCTCCTGTGGTCGAATCAATCAACCCGAGCAGGCAGTACTATCGTTAAAGGCATCGTTCGTTCGTATCGTTTAAATGAATACACTTGAATGCAGCCTGAAATAAGTACAAACGAATAAAAACAGAGTAAGTTGTACGCGACGCGTGCGCTGTCACTAGGTTTGACAAGGAGCTACAAAATCCTCTGATCATCACCTGGATGCGCTTTTCAAAAGCCACCAGACAGTGAGAACATCGTCGAGACCGTCTTCCACGATACCACTTCGACGCGCCGAGCTGGCCGGGAGACGGCTGACACTGGGGTGTGACCGAGCCGCTCTACCTTTGAACACGCCGTCCTGGTCGATGCCCGCCTCGTCCAGGCCCTGTTCGTTGATGAACTTGACCCGGATGATGCCCTTGAGCAGCTGCGGGGAGAGCGAGGCCAGCTGGCGGTAGCCGTCCTCCAGCAGACGGGACCTGGGCGGCAGCAGCGGGGGTCAGACGTGCGTACGCGTCTGTGCCGTAACCCCGGGCGATGCGGGGACAGAGTCGCGCCGCTGTAATGCGGCGGTGACCAACTGCGGTAACATCAGCGAGCAGCCAGCGTCTGATCTGACATCGCGGCCAGTCCACCGTGGTGACGTAAACGGTGAGCGCACCTGGTCACGTCACCTCGCGCCCCAGCCGAGCTCCGGTGAGTCCGCGACGCCCAACACACCTGTGGATCGTGACGAGCGTGGACTGGGGCGTGGTGAAGGCCGACTCGGTGAGGCCCAGCGCCAGCTTCTCCTTCGTCACCTCTTGCCGGAAAAGGCAGACCCGCTCAAAGTGGTGCAGCACGTGTGGCATCTTCTGCAGCAGCAGCTGTGACGGATGCAGACGATCTGGGTCACAGCAGGCCTACAGAACCCGGCAGCGATCCGCGCGGTCCACGAAACCCGACAAGCAAGCTTGTAGCTGACTTTGGTACGCCCTTTACCATCGCGTCAAAAGAAAAATAATTTGCAAACCTACCAGCTTACAGGTCATGTGCTCTTCTGAACTACCTACCACAAAGACGATTACAGCACCCAGATAGCGACGAGGGAGAAACCGCAGGGCTTCACACGGAGGGCGCCACTCACCACGGCTGACTTCTTGTTCTTCTCGATGTCTCCGAGGAAGCTCTTGCTGCCGACGATGTTCCAGTGGTACTTGGGCGCGTACGGACGCCGACAGTCGCGCTTGTAGAGCAGCAGCAGCAGCGCGTGCAGCGACTGGAACAGGGCGCTACTCGACAGCGTCTTGGCGTCTGGAAACAGCTGCCGTCAGCGATCGGGCCGTCCGGCGTCGTCCCGTTATGCGCTGCAGCCGCCACGCCAGCCCTCCAACCCGCCAGTGTGTGAAGCACATGCATCTGCGCTTGTCACGTGGACACGCGAGGAGCTGTACAGGTCTTCTGATATGCCATACTTTGAATATACATGACATTTTCGAATATAGGCTTCAAATGCTCTGCTATTGGCCATGGAAACTTTAAAAATAAGCAGACTTTACAGTCGTGATGAGCCAGCTGCACAAAAATGGCACAGCTTCTAACAACTTTGCTGATGAAATTATCCATATTATGTATCCATATAAAATTATCCGTATAAATATAGCATATTATGAAGGCAGTGAGAATACACATTTCCGGCCCAAAAAAGCGGTAGAACACATCGGGAAAGAGAGATGGCATACCAATCAGGTTGTTGATGATTATCTTGTACACCAATTTGTTGAGGAAGTCCGATAACTGGACGTAGACGTCCAGCTTGAATATTTTCTGCTCTTCGTACATCTCAATATCATCCAGAACACTGAAATGGGCAGATGCAGGCTGAGAAAGCTTTCAAACGCAGCTAACGTCACCTGAATTAGTGATTCGGGCTACTCGTAGACCTTAAAATTTTGTTTCCAAGAACCGACCGACGACTCTGATTCAAACACAAGCTTTTCGACCGTCACACATCCTCAAGAGCTACAATTATCGACACCTTCCCGACTGCTTTGCCTTCCGTCGTAACGCCATGGACTAAAACGCCATCACATTGAGATAACTACAATCGCGCACCCGCCTCCCATAGAGTCCATACTAAAGCCAAAACCTCACAAACTTATCACAATGTGTAGAAAAACGGGCGAAGAAAAAACAGAATCAGGGGAGCGCCCTACAACGATATACGTAGTTAAACGAGCCAATCCTGTTCATAAGACTATATATGAGTGCTGACACAGGGCGCGTAATATATATATATATATATATATATATATATATATATATATATAATCAAAACCCAACACCCCATGTGCCCATCACTAACAATGCCAGTCTCTGCGTCCTGACTCTGACACAGTGTCGACCCCACACCGCCAGCCGTCGCCGCACTCACACCACGTAGTTGGCCATGCAGTCGCAGAACATGGAGAGCACGTGGAACTCGGGCGCGGCGGCGCCGCCGGCCGTGCCCAGCAGGCCGACGAACTGCTTGAGGCCGCAGTCGGGCCCGAGGCCGCCCAGCAGCGCCCACAGGTCGGGCAGCAGCGTGCCGCCGTAACACAGGCCTGACACCAGAGGGGCACCGTCACACCGTGCCAAGTAAGCTGGTGTCACACAACCAGCTCTGATGCTATCACAAGGCAAACACATTTGGGTTCTGTCGTAATTAGCACGTGTCTTACAATGCTTTACTCCTTCATGTCGTCTATGTCATGCAGCCTGTCAAAGTTAGACGTAAGGAGTAAGTTAGGGGGTGAGTTACCGTTGGAGTCGGGCCCACTCACTGGTCAGTATGTCGGCCCGTAGCTGAGTCAGCGTCTGCAGCGCCGTCTGGTAGAGAGAGCAGACGAGCGCCACACGCGCGCACTCGGCCCCGCCCAGCCGGCGGCCGGCGGCGGCGCCGGGCCGGCCTCGCTCCAGCGCGCGCCGCAGCAGGCTCGGCAGGCGGCCGTCGGCGGGCGTCGGCGCGGCGGCGGCCGGCGGCGGCGGCGCGCGCTCCACGCCGTCAAACAGGGCGCGCGAGACGGAGCGGCTCCAGAGCAGCTGCAGCTGGCCGCGCACGGCCGGCAGAGCCTCGGTCAGGCGCGGGTCGAGCGGCTGGCTGAACCAGCCCAGCACCGGGTGCCACTGGCTCAGGTTGGAGCGCTTGTTCTGCACGTAGGCCTGCAGGCTCTCCAGCAGCCGCGTTAGCACCACCTGCCGTCAAGGCCGTCCAGGTTACAAACAATATCGGCAGTGGCTGAGCTGCACCCACTCGGCGCAGTTTCAGTTTTAAATCCGAAATTTACTTGCAAGTCTAACACACCTACACAATTGCCAAATTTGGCGAGTGGAATGCTGTACACTGTTGCGTAAAATGACAATACATATGCCTCCAAATAGCCGGTGTCGGATACCATACATCATCTCATTTATCTCATCTGTATCTCGCTAGTTACACAGATGACATCTCTTTACACATGATACATCAACAAATATTGCATAATCAAGGTGCAACATGACTTTTTCACATGCTGTAAACGCCGCGCTGCACTCAGTGCTGATAAGCTGGTTTAGCGGTGCCATACGCACCCTCACTGCGACACAAAAAACGGCACGGCACCAGCCGCCCGTGACACACACACACACAAACACACACACACACACACACACACACACACACACACACACACACCACTATCATCTTTGTTTAATGAGGCAGGCGCGTTAGCGGCGGGCGCCTTACGCAGAGGTCCGGGCAGAGAATGGCCGCCAGCTTGTCCGGCTCCTGCAGATAGGCCAGGTGCACCAGATTGGCCAGCAGACAGAGCGCGTAGTTGCCCTCGAGCGCGTTGAAGACGATGCGCAGCCCCTGCTCGTCGAGCAGATGCGTGGTGCACCGCTCCAGGACGCGGTGCGTGGAGATGACCGTCAGGCACTGCGCAGGGAGAGGAGAGCGCGTCCGGGTCAAACGGCGCGTACGTCTCGGTCGGTTTACGAATGTCCGACGCCAGGCGCAGGGGCACACTTGTTCACCGGGAAAGCCTGGGTGTCCTTGAATCACACAGAGTGCTGTGTGTACGCCACGAGCGACGGTACTGTGTGAGACCACAGGCGCGGCGATGCGTGTGGGCACGGCACCCGACCACTGTCCCAGCTCCACCGATACTGCCCCAGCTTCCTGCCACGTGACCCGCACCTCGGGCGCGGTGGTCTGCAGGTGCGACACCAGGCCGGGCACGCTGAGCACGTGGATGAGGTAGGCGCTGACGTCGTCCGGGGCGAGCTGCGAGGCCAACAGCGGCCGGCTGGCCAGCGTCATGCAGGCGGTCAGCGCCGCCGGTCGGAGCGCCGGCCGCGACCGCGCCAGGCCGCGCACCAGCACCTCCTGCCGACCGGGCGGCCACTGTCAGACACTGCTAAGGTGTGGGCCGGGACGCGACATCTCTCGGCGACGAGGGGAGCCTCGGTGACACATCCCGGGGATGACACAGGGCCTGTGGACAGCTTGACAAGCTCCGAGGGATGGTGAGCGGTCTGTCAACACCACATCACGCACTGGGGATGGGACGGGCAGGTGAGCATAGCGACATCGACTGAGGACGGGTAGGACGCCGCGGATTAGGCCAACATCAGAGGCTCTTACAGAGATTAGGCCTAAATAAAAACTGAGTAAGTTTTAGCGAAATGCGTATATACTGCGACAGGTTCTTCCAAATTATTAGGTTATCAGTGCATTCCCTTTTGGCAAGCATTTTCCTCCTTACGCTGTAATGATTTTGCAAATTGTGGACTTAGCATACACACTATGGAATGTGCATACGGGTATAAGCAAACCTATCCTGGCCGAGTTTAGAACATAACGTTAAGGCTAAACATAACGCGTCAAAGTAACAATATTTTCGTCGCTCATAATTTGTTGTGCTTCAATTGCTTGCCTCTGACAGACCAAAAAACTTGCGGGATGGTGCTAAGACGGGCACAGATGCATCTGGTAGCGATCGCGGATGGGGGAAGTGTGATATCTCACGGCACCAATGCAGACCAGCATGGGGTGGCGAATAGGGCCAATCGATGGGCCAAGCATGATAACCGAGAAATGCCGTGACTGCTGTGTCCCCACATCGCTCATGTCTTCATTTTTGCTCAGTGCTTCAGCTGCTAAGGCCATTTCGCGCTCTCTTTATATCCCCACCTTCAGCGTTTGCATGAGGTGGGCAGAATTCAGGTGGCGAAGCAGGGCCAGACACAGTTTCTCCATCACTGGCTTCAGCTTCTCGTGGCCGCTATTCATCAAAATTTTCCACGTAGACGTAGATGTGAATGTGAGAAGGCAGTGCAGATGCAGAGTCAGAACCTGTGGGAAATTAGCCATCTGTCAGTTTTGAGCCTGATCCGACGAAGCAAGTACTAGCACAAAAAAACTAAGTGCATTACTTCGTTCTTTCAGTACAATCAGCAGCCTAAATCGACCATCAAATAGCAAGAGTCATGCGTCTGGAAAATTCATTTGCCATCGGCGAATATGAAATGCACCCCAGTTTGTACACCAGAACAGTTCCAGACAGAGGACAAACTTAACCTCAAGCATACGCAAGCGCAGCCGAGGGTCCGGGGTTCACTCCCCCTCTTTTAGATCCGTACTTTTATTTGCTTTAGCATCATAGGTGGCTCCTGCAAAAAAAAAACTTAAAAATCAGCGTACACTATATCAGAGAATATAGATCGCTCACCATTAAGCAGACATATTAAGTGAAGCCGAGTCATAGTCACATAACAAGTCGTTGTTAAGATCTTCTTCGGTTTGCTTATAGTGAGCTGCCACTGAGTCCCCACACCTTTCAAGAAATACCCCTTACATCCTTGTATGCGTGAATGGTTCTTTTATTAAGCGAAAAGACCAGAGGAAAAAGACCGAACGGCACAAGGGAGGTGGATATCAAAAGGCCATATAACGGACGCCAACCAGAGGACGACCGGACGCAGAAAGAATGTCAGGTCAGCGGAAATTAGACAGCAGACAGCTACGGCAAACGATCACAATGGGATAGTGACTAGACGACGAGAGTAGCTCCAGTTTGTAGAGGGCACAGCTCGCGTAGCTGGCAGTCCCGAGTGACGTAACACGTCATCACGGCGGACCGGTGAGCCCTGCGCGCTGCCGCCACTCAGACAGCTGTTAGTGACGCACACCCGCACAGCTGCTGCCGCGCGCGCGGCGGGCGGCCGACGGAGCGCGCCGCCGGCGCCGCCAGCGCTCGGCGGGCGTGACGTCACGCACCGGCGTGTCGTTGGCCGTCTCCGGCCGCAGCTTGACCAGTCGGCTGAGGCAGCGCTCCAGCACGGTCTTCATCTGCGCGATCCAGCCGACGGCGTGCTGCGGGTTCAGCGCCACCGAGGCGTAGCACAACTTCAGCGAGTCGGATGTCATGCTCTGCACGAGGTATCTGCGGGGCACCGTCCGCCGGCGTGAGCCGCGCGACACACACGCACGCACACGCATGCGCAGGCATGCAAGATGTCGGGGTTACACCGTCAGATCCAACCACGTGTCATATCTTTATTTCCAGCGTTTATCATTGGAATGCCTAAGCCATACTTTTATTATTTTGCATTTGAACACACACACACACACACACACACACACACACACACACACACACACACACACACACACACACACACACACACACGCACACGCACACGCACACGCACACGCACACGCACACGCACACGCGCACGCGCACGCACGCACGCACACGCACACGCACACACACATACACGCATACGCACACGCACACACACATACATGCACACACACGCACACACACCAGTCAAGGTCAGGACGCGCGCCGACGTGCCGAAAAACAAAATCATTACGCCGCAGCGCGCACGCGGTTGGGGTTCTCGCAGACCGGGAGGAGCTAAACACGGCGGCTTCGTCATCCCGCGTAGCAGCTGGTCGCGGTCAACGACCACGTATCGCACTGTACCTCGCTCGTCTGAGCCGCCGCAGCGGACGGCACGACGCCGTCCAGGACCGTCCTCAGCGACGCCGCCGGCGCGGCCGCGGTGCCCACACACCTGCACAGCAGGTCGAAGCGCAGCATGTCCCGCCCGCCGGTGAGCAGCAGGTACTGGCGCGTGCAGCGGTACACCTCCTGGGCGGCGGCCAGCGGCGGCGTGTCCTCGGTGCCGGGCGGCTGCAGCAGGCCGTCCAGGCGGCGGCTGGCGGCGCAGGCCGGCCGCGTCACACGGGCCACGGGGCGGGCCGGCGGCGGCCCCGGGCTCGGGAGGACCGAACGTCAGGGCGACGGCACGCGCAAGGGCACACTCAGATGGCGCGGATGGCGTGGCAGGCGGGTTTTCAACGCTCACAGATCGCAAGCCCAGTCGGCGCTTAAAGAGTCAATGTTGCCAACATACCAACACATTGTGTCAGCAGTGGTCAATAAGGTCAACATTGGAAGTGCAGACAAAAAGAGTATTTGTGACTCATTCCCTGAGAAACGGTCGAGCAAAAAGCAAAGGAGCGTATTTCGCCATTTTCGTGGCGTACCGGTATTGGAGGTAGTTTTGTCATAAGTGTCGTCCGGCCGACGCACAGCACCACGTAAACCAATGTCTCCACAGGCACGAGTGTTTCTCAAATGACTGGACCCGTTGACCGAGGTTCGTGACGTTGTGGTGTTTTTGGGACATTAATGACGCCTAACATAGGTGTCATTTGCGTATATCCCATTCCTCCGATTTAAGGAAACAATTCCGGGGCTCAGAAGCAGAAATTTACTTCCTAGTCCAACGAAACATTGGACATATCCTTCCTACCCCAGCAATGAAAACCACAACGTCTACTTCAAACGACCAAATTTAAATTAAATAGAACCCATAATTCATGTTTGAAAACAAAACGTTGCATTTTCCAACTGGCGCACTCACTTGACATCTCGTATGGCGGCTCTACGGACCAGGAACCCTCGAGCACACGCTTGTATGCGGATGGCGGCATCCTCTTTTTTCTTTTGAAAATGGCGTTCTTCCCGAGCGGTTCTTGCCTGTTCCAGGAAGGCATCCTTACTGGCATCAGGCTTTTGAAACATGACTTGAGATTTGTGCTAGAATTCCTGCAACGAAAAAGGGAGCACAGAATAATATCACCGTCCAAAGTGAGTATGGTTAACGATGAAATCAGCGTGGTATGCATTTTCGATACCCATACGTGTGCATACCTATATTCCTTTTCCATCCCTCATCCGCTGGCACCTATACTCGCAGCGCAGGCCACTGACCTGAAAAAAGAAAATGGCCCAAGGACGACAAGATCGGCTCACACCGGCCAAACGGACGGCAGCCGACGCTGCACGTGCAGGGCCGCCTGCATCGGATGCGTGCCAGCGATGTAAGACCACGGCGCTGTCGCTGGGGGAACAAATGCGACGGGACAGGGAACAAATGCGCCAGGGTGATAACCGGGCACACCAGGATTAAAAGGAGGGATATCCTGGTGGCAGAAGCCGGTTTGATTCGCCTCTTACCCGCAGTTAACAGCTGGCAGCTGCCGCACGCCACCGGCTGACGCGCCTGTTACCATCGGACCCGACTGAGTACCTAATGCTCCGGAGCCATCTGACCCGACTGCGGACCTGATGCTCCGGAGCCATCTGACCCGACTGCGGACCCCATGCTCCGGAGCCATCTGATCCGGCTGGGACCTGATGCCCCGGAGCCATCGGACCCGGCTGAGAACCTGATGCTCCGGAGCCATCGGACCCGACCGCGGACCCCATGCTCCAGAGCCATCTGACCCGACTGCAGACCTGATGCTCCGGAGCCATCTGCCGCGCCTGCGGACCCCATGCTCCAGAACCATCTGACCCGACTGCAGACCTGGTGCTCCGGATCCATCTGCCGCGCCTGCCACTGCCACCAGCGGACGTGACCATGTGGTCAGGTAATTCGGCGAGGGCGGGCACATAGGGATGGCGGTGCTGGCACGTTGTTTGAGCTCCATCACTCGCATCAAGGCATCAAGAAGTGCAGCCCTGTTGGAGCAATCTGCAGCAGACTAGGGCTGCCAGACCTGGCGGCAGTCTGGCACGCCCTCGCCATGGCCTCCTCACACCTGACCAGCCCAAGGTCTCTCAGACCTGGATCCTCACAGACTTCTGGTCAAGCCTCCAGCTGCTGCAGCTGGGACCAGTAGCACCATTCTGGCTTGGTGAGCTGTGATGGTCGCTGCATAATTAGACACTATCAGTGATGACCCAATGGGTGTCAGACCATGCTTGGTTGCGGGGATGGCATCACAGACCATACTGCTGCAGAAGCTGCTGCTGTATACCAGGCACCTGTCTGGACCATCTTGGCTAATGCTTGAGGCTAGCACTTTGCTAGCTAGCCCTCAGGCCCAGGAACTTCTGGGAGGCCCAATCAAAAAGATTGTCAGCTTTTTGGAACAGATGGGATGCACTCATCCTTTAATTGACATGCCCTTCAGCAGACTCACTGTGGCTTATGCAAAACATATGGAGTCTGAGGGAGGCACACAAATTTACTGGCTATGTGCCTGAATGAAATCAGGTATGAATAAATCCAACCTAAAATGTGACAAGAACTTTCCTTTCATACAGCTACAACAAATACATGCATTAAGTACAACACTCCAGAATTCATTGTGGAATACAGCTAAAACCAAACATTCAAGCCTCAGGCAATATCAGAGTGAAATGCATATCAGTCTGAGCTGCTCTGTCAAGATTAGAATGAAAACAATAAATGAGCCACAATCTAGATAGATTCCAGTAGAAAAGGAATCAAGTAGAAAAAAGGAACATTATGCAGGATAACAGATAAGGATTCCAAAAAGTTCCTTTCTTTACCATTGCCTTACTTTACACATTGAACTGAACCACCTCTCAGTATCTGCACCTTGATATCATCAAAACCAGTACAAGATGATTCTATCAGCACATTACCAGGTTGGCGGTGTGCATGTGATCTTTTAGCAATGCAGCATTATCAGTTGAAAACCAGACTGATTCTATCAGCACATTACCAGGTTGGCTGTGTGCATGTGATCTTTTCACAATGCAGCACCATCAGTTGAAAGCTGGACCTTCTTTACCACTGCAGAGATGGTTGAAAGGCATATAACATGTCTCACTCACCATGACATAGCTTAGCTCTGAGAATGTAAGCAGCCATTTATTTCAGAAGTTGGTCGGTACAGACAACTGGACATAATGAAGTCAAACTGCCACAGGATTATCATGAACGTCCAATAGGAAGTATGGGTCTGCACCGTCAGAACACATTTTCTGCACATTGTTACTAACCCTGTAATTTATAATATGCTGTTATAGATCCTGTTCCTTTCTTACTTAATTGGGGGGAGGCATGGGCTCTGGCCTCCCTTTCCCCAACTTTGAAAAGAAAGTGGGCAAAAGCCAGGAAAAACCTGTATACCTGTATGTTGGCTGATTCAGGGGCAGGTTGCTTCATTTCCAATGCTCAGCCTTTCCCAACTTATTTTGGGAAGCTACACCTTATGCTCCCAAAATGGGCATTCCCATAAACATATTGTACTTGAAGATATTAAGGAAAAACCAAGTGGTTCAATGTAAAAAACCAAGTGGCCTGCATGAGAAAACTAAATGTGTGAAATGCGCCAAAACCCAACTGCTTTTTATAGCAAGGAATCCTTTAACTTTGCCCCCCTCCCCTAGCATCAGCCCCCTGAAGATGACGTTCCGGACTTATCCGACCTCGGCCATGTTGACGTATGGCGTATGCTGGTCATAAACACAAAGGCCATCACCTCCATCCATGCAACTCAAGGATCTCCTTTATCGTCAAAACAAACATTAAGCCTTTCAAGATATATGGAAAGGAATAAAAGTGTGTTACGCACAAGACTCACGTAGGAACCCGATCACAAGTCTACAAAAAGGTGCCGTTCAACGAGCAGAGTTAACGAGTTAATTCCTAATTCACCACTCACCCGTTTGAAACGAAATCGCAAACCCATTGCCCAACGCACCATAGTCGACTGTTTATAATCGACAACAAGGCGCAAACCCTGGCCCAAGGACGTACAACAAACCCCAGGCCGACCGACTCAGCTGATCAGCAACGAAATTTACGTCGAGTGTTATGTTCGTTCAAGGCGATGCATACGGTCCGCCTGTTCCCTTGTGGACGGCAGACTACAAATGAAGTCAGCTGATTTCATCTTTATATCAAAAAAGCTTTTTTACCCAAATGCAAATGCAGCTCTGTAACTTACACCTCTCTTTTCTGGTACCGATTCTATAGTAATTTATCGATGGCTTGACCGAAATTAGATTGCAATCTATGGCCAGGTCTTCTTTATCATAGATGCTTTTAACTTTCAACTCTTGCTGTGCCCTCAGCCTGGCGCAGTAGTGACAAAGAGTGGCATGGTTTGATAGCCTTTTTATGTGGGATGCAGTTCGGCGTGATTGAGTCGTCATATGAACATATATTTATTGTGTTAGATACAACAACTTAGGTGAGTAACGTGTCTTTCAGTGTTTTATTCCGGCTCCAAGTATCGATAGTGCACATGCTGCGGCATTTTAAGCTGCTATTGATTTGATGTAATGTTGGAACGCAATCAAATGTCACATAAACCAAACCATTTTACCTAGTCTATATCATAACGATTGTCACTTGTGTCATATGTGAGTATAAAAGTTGCTGTTTAGTGCATACTTTGTGGCAAATACATGCTAATGTTTTGAAGGCACATTGAAAGCTCCATCCACTGCAGGAGGTCTATTCAACGGCAGTGGGCTGAATGTCATGCTCACTTTTGCCTCATCATTCAGGCCATGTCAAATTGTTCCAAATATTCAACTTATTTTGTTTTTTTGACAAAGTGTACCTTCCTGAAATTAGCTTTTCAATGTATTGTGGATGGTGTCCTACATTCATATTATTGGGCTACCACAGTTTGCCAGCCACACATTTTTTAGTACAAAACATGGCAGATCTTGATGGGTCTCTATGGTGAAACTTGGTAAGGAGTATGGCTGGGAAAGTTTAATTAAATTCAGGCACAGAAGATTATCAAATGGGCTGAGAGCTCTACCTTTAGCGACTGATGTCACCAAGGGCCAAATAAGGAGATGTCAAGTTGCAGTTGTGGATTTTATTACCAAAAGCTGTCCCAAATAGATAAGCTCCTGCCTTGTGTGGGGCTGCCTGCTGCATTGTACATTTTTTGACTTTCTTACCATGCTTTGCAGATTGAGTCATTTGCAGTCCCATGCTACAACATATGACACAACATATAATATGACTTCTGAAATCAGGGTGGCTTTTCTCCATTGTAAAATTCAGCTTTAAAGCCACTTTGTCCAGTTTGCTGTTTGCTTGGAGGCAACTTAATGGTCCAAAATCAAGCCCTTTCCTGTCTCTCTGATGCAGGGAGAGGGGATGATAGTGTGATCTTGCATAGGACTCTCACAATATCTTCTTGACAGGTCATGTAATTTCACCTGAGCCTTTATGCATTCATTAGGGGTGTTATGACACCAAAAATGTGTCCCAAGCATTTCTGGTTTCTAAGCAGGGCATTTTTTTGAGGAGCACTGCATCTTAATCTACAATGAACTGACTCAACAGGCAGGTGGGCTATCAACTGACTAATCTGTGGGTTAGCAGGCCATCAACTGACAAATCTGTCCTTTGCCAGATGGCAGGAATGACAGTGTCATATTTATGGAAAATTGTGTTGCCAATACTTGCTCCAAACACACAAAGACTGTAATATATACTAAATTAAACACAGAGCATGCCTGGACAAGTTTCATGTTGCTTTGTTTCATGGTTTTGTAAATATTGGTGTGCGAACTGAAATGCTGCAGCTGTCAGGAAAATTTGCCTATTAACCTGGCTTGGTGGAATCAATGATTGATAAAGGAACACAGTATTACAAGCTCTGGCTGCAGCTAAGCAATTTTTCAAGATGCTCTTATTCTTAGTGAAATGCCTGTTGGAATGAGCTTGCGATGACACTCTTCGTTTGCGGTATGAAATGTGGTGAATCCAGGTGGTGAGCCTGCCTTCTATATTTATTATACCCCCCAGTTTTGATATTTCTGGAGCATTTTCATAATGACTAAGTAAGGTTATTATGCCGGGATCATTTGCTTGGTCTACATGGTCAGTTTCAGGTCTAGTGTTTAAGTTGTAAATTATCGCATTTTAGTCAAATGCCAAAAGAAGTGGACCAAAAACCAGACACCGCGTTTCCAGTAAGCTGATCGTGTTGGTGCAGGGTTTCAAAACACTTAACTGCTGTGTGATATTCATCTTTGCAGCTTTCTTGCTTAATGCGTTATGAGCAGTCTTATCAAATCATGTCATATTTACAGGCATCTGTTTCGACTCGAAATTCCCACATCGGCACAATGGGCAAGAAGCGTCGCCTGGGGGAGGAGGACGCTGAGCGTGACCTGCCGCAGGCCACGCTGCCCACATCGCTAGCAGCCAGCCGCCAGCGCCGGCTCATCGTCATCCTGGAGAACGCCCAGCTGGAGGCGGTCAAGATCGGCCGCAGCTTCGAGCTGCTCAACTCGGACGACCACGCTAGCTTCCTGCGCAAGAACGGCCGCGACATCGGCTCCAGCCGGCCGGACATCGCTCACCAGTGCCTGCTCATGCTGATGGACAGCCCGCTCAACCGCGCCGGCCTGCTACAGGTGTACATCCACACCGAGAAGAACGTGCTGATCGAGATCAACCCGCAGACGCGCATCCCGCGCACCTTCCGCCGTTTCTGCAACCTGTTCGTGCAGCTGCTGCACAAGATGAGCATCCGCGCCGACGACGGCAACATGAAGCTGCTGAAGGTCATCAAGAACCCGGTCACGGATCACCTGCCGGTCGGCATCCGCAAGGTCGGCTTCTCGTTCAGCGCGCCGAAGGTGGTGAGGCCTCGCGAGCTGGCGCCGGCCGAAGGGCCGCTGGCCGTCGTCATCGGCGCCATGGCGCATGGCAAGATTAACGCCGACTACACCGAGGAGTTCTGCAGCATCTCCAGCTACCCGCTGTCGGGCGCGCTCGCCTGCTCCAAACTGTGCGACGGCTTCGAGGAGGCCTGGGGCGTGCTGTGAGGGACGTGGTGGGAAACGGCGCGCGGCCGAGAACTTGTGTCGATGACGGGACGCCATTGAACGATGCATCACGACACGTTGTGCACATGCTGATCACCTCATGACGTTGCGTGTGAAGTCCGTTGTTCCGTATGATAGCCGGAAAGATGCAAATGCTTTCGGTCGGCAGCATATTTTGCTGCATCCTTGGCGCAAACAGGACACAATACAGACCATGGCGGATGTGCATTACAGATGTATGGCGGTATAATACATCTGGTAGTATCCAATCAGGCTTCGCTCGTACGGTGCCCACCTCACTGTCATGTAAATAAAACATGAAATGTTTTTATCTCGTTCTTATGTGATAAAATGCGTCGATTCGTTCCCGAGGCATATAATTCGCACACCGCTCACCGGTCATCTTGGTTCCATGCTCCCGTTGCTGTTCATAGCACATGCCTGACAGACCTAGTTTAGCACCAACGCACGGTAATTCATGGAGGTCGGTTTGAAGGCCACGTCCAGCACGCAGCAGCGCACGACTACATCTCAGGTCAGCCAGAGGGTCAGCCAATACAGGAGCTAGATGCACAAAGGGCGGGCGCACAGGGCCGTGCCCCTCATCAGGTGGGGCGCTCTGGTATTATATGAAGAAATCCAAAGAGCACCCAAGCGGCACCTTCTTTCATATCGTCGACTACAGTACCCCAAATCGTGGCTTCAGTCCCATAAAAACGAGGAGTATGCCGGGGCCTGTGTCACCCTAAAGAGTATCCGAATGAGCCCCTCCCTACAAAAACCCTGCGTACGCTCCTGCGGCGTAGAAGAGGAGAGGGCGGACGGTTGTGTCAAAATAGAATGATCTTATCCCAGACCCGTCACGACTACCCTAGAAGCATAGGGGCGGGCAGTCACCGATGGGCGCAGAAACAACCCTGGCGTGAGATTATTCTCCTCAAACACGGGCCAGACGTGTAACGGTTTGGAACATCAAGTGGAGTGGCCGCCGGTTGGGGTGTGCCCACCGGCCATCTCGGTAGCAGGCAGCGAGCCGACCTTCGCTGAGAACACAACCTAGTATTTAAATTTCCTAATATTCTTCTCTACTCTCTGTCTTTTGCGGTGCTGCGCACGAATGCACACTCCGTTATTTACCGCACGCCGTAATAGTGTTATCAAACGAATATATCAGTATCTTGTGGCTATTACAGGTGAAAACGGGCATGAACTGCTTTCGTGGGCTGAAGAGCTCGCCATGGCCTGCGTGACCCGCCCGTCTGATGTCTATCCGCGTCCTCTGGCGGGGCCATCGGGCACCACCGCCCGCGCCCCTTCGCCGTCCGCCTCGCCGCATTAGAAAGTGATTGAGTGCTCCTCCAGCCAGCAGGGCTGAGAGACCGTCGCCGGTGGGCACCGGGTGCCGCCTGCATGCAGAGTGGGGCTCTCACGTGAGAGCAGTCGCCTGTTGAAGACACTGAGCTGTCAGTTTGGTTCGTCCGGTCAATGGTACGGCTCAGAGACTTGGGATCGTCAGGTGATCTGTCTGATTACGGGCGTGTGTCTGCTCAGACCGGCTGACCATCTACCTGATTACGGGTGTATGTCTCCTCAGACCCGCTGACCATATGTCTTATTACGGGTGTATGTCTGCTCACACCGGCTGATCATCTGCCTGATTACGGGTATGTGTCTGCTCAGACCGGCTGACCATCTGTCTTATTACGGGTGTATGTCTGCTCAGACCGGTTGACGATCTGTCAGATTACGGATGTATGCCTGCTCAGACTGGCTGACCATCTGTCAGATTACGGTTGTATGTCTGCTCAGACCGGCTGACCACCTGTTTAATGGCGGATGTGTTTCTGCTCAAGCCGGCTGACCATCTTTTTAATCACGGATATGTGTCTGCTCAGACCGGCTGACCATCTCTTTGATTACGAATGTGTGTCTGCTTGGACCGGCTGACCATCTGTTTGATCACGGATGTGTGTCTGCTCAGACTGGCTGACCACCTTTTTGATTACGGATGTGCGTCTGCTCAGACCGGCTGACCATTTGTTTAATCACGGATGTGTGTCTGCTCAGACTGGCTAACCATCTCTCTAATTACGGATGTGCGTCTGCTCAGACCGGCTGACCATCTGTTTATTTACGGATGTGTGTCTGCTCAGATTGGCTGACCATCTCTTTGATTACGGATGTGCGTCTGCTCAGACCGGCTGACCATCGGTCTGGTAACGGATGTATGTCGGGTGAAGCCGGCTGGCTATCTGTCTGACTCGGCGGCGTGGCTTTTCAAAATACGCATCGAAGGCTTCTGCAGATGGTAAAAATCTAATCACATATGTTCGACCACTGCTTGAATACTCGGCGACTGTTTTTCATCCCGGGCTCACCGGCCACCAAGCCCAACAAATTGAGCGAGTACAGAAGCGGATTCTGAAAATCATTACCGGGTATGACAAGAGTTATCAACGGCTTCTACAGATTCTGAAAATGGAAGCACTTGCAGACAGGAGGAAGACGCTGTGCATACGGGTTGGACAGGAAATCCTGAGATATCCAGGGCACAGACATGCTCCCACCAACAAGAGAAGCGATCTCGGGAAGGATCACTCGATATGGTGACACGTTGCAGACATTTTGCTGCGGCGCAAGGCTGCGAAAATCAAGCGTGCCATACATAACAACCCTCATAAACATGAATATCAATGCATCTAGCTGAGGGTAAGCCATCCACCACACCCGCCGCTGCATTTGTAAATACGTTTAACACGCGCTCGGGTGGGGGTCAAATTGCCCCCCCCCCGAAGGTTTTTCCAGAATTGCTTCCGAACGGCGCAGCGTAGCCGCGCCAAATTTTACATAGCTGTAGACAATTGAATAGCGAATCATTTGGCATAACAAGTTTGGGTGTAGCTTGTAAGGTCGCTGACCTATGGCAAGTCAAAGTCAGGCCATGGTTTCAGCGAAGGCAATTTCTAGGGAATCCTTTAATCTGATCCAACAACGGAATGCTAGACGGAGCCATACATGTCTGAGATGCTTTCTTAGGCAACACAACAGTTGAATGAGCAAATTAAATCGACCTAAGATCAGGTATGAAGGTCACACCGAGGTCAAAACCAACCTGTGTTATTGCTTTAGGGTTTGCTGTATGGGATAGTTTCTGGTGCTCATTTCGAGTTTTTTGGTAGCAGGAACCGCATTATGCATCTTCTATGGCCCTCCATGGAGGTCAGAATAGGTCATTGTTCTAAAATGACCTAGGAAAACATTTTGTTTTAGGAACATACTGCCTAGCGTAAACTTTGTCGCTTAGTCAAATGCAAAAATCAAAGCAGTCTTATACGATGTTGGTCACCTTGACCTTCAAAAGGTCAAACAAGATCACTGACCTTAAATGAGAATGAGACCTTTTGCTTAGAAACGGTTATCTACGTTCTAGGGGCACTTTGGAGACCAAACTGGAACTTGACCTTGTTTGACTTTTTTGACCCAAAGGTCATGACCTAGGAACCTGAAACTTTGGCTTACGTGAGTTCACGTACAGGTAAACACACCCTGTAAATTTGGTGCCTCTAGCTCACCTAGTTCCCGAGATCTCAGGGGGGAGGTCAAATTGACCCGCCCCCACCCCAGCGAATGGTATCTAGCCGGCCACCCGGGGCGCGTGTTAATAGATGTTTAAAGGTTGCTCTGTGCTTACGTGCAATGCTTACCTGCGTGCTACATGAGTTGATACTCGAAGCAGTTTTCTTGAGAGTTGATAGCTCTAGAGAGAAGCCCGTATCTCTTAGAGAGTAGACTCGTTCTCTATCTCTCTCTCGCTTTCTCTCCCTCTCTCTCTCTTTCTCTCTCCTCTCTCTTCTCTCCTCTCTCCTTATCTACTCTCTCTCTCTTCTCTACTCGTCTCTATCTCTCTCTCTCTCTCTCTCTCTCTCTCTCTCTCTCTCTCTCTCTCTCTCTCTCTCTCTCTCTCTCTCTCTGTCTTTCTCAGGCCGCTTCTTGCTCCATTTAATCAAACATGCACGCCTTTTTCAGACCAGCTGCCACCTTACCTGACCGGGCCGTCTTGTTTTTGGAGCGTCTGCTGACCCGTTTAAAAGGAGCATGCCACCTTTTTGCACTTTTTATTTATCCTTAGATAGACGCGTACGATTTGATCCGTGATACCAGCTTTCTCCAAAGCCTTCTGAATAGCTCAGAATTTCGACCTGGGGTAGCCACTCCTGCAAGAGAAATGTCATTCGACTCCCTGCTCACCACAATAAAAGTAAAACCTTTCATTTGCCTTGTTTTTCCAACGTGTGTTCTGTAATGTTTACAGCACACTAATTTTTCCCAATGTTTGCGCAGTAGATGCTACGAAAGCCACAGACTGTTTAAACAAAAACGTATATGCAGACATGAGGCCATTATCCCGCGAGTTCAACGAAACCTGATTCCATGGCTCTGACGAGTTAATCTCATGTGACCGACTGTTGGTCCGTCTCACTAGGGAGATGTGTCTCCTCCTGTAAGATAAGTTGATTTCATGAGACCGACTGTTGCCATGTTGGACCATTTCGCCGGGAGGTGTAGCTCCTCTTGTAAGATCAGCCGGTCTCATTAAACGTCTCATCAAACGACATCAGACGTCGCGTCTCCTCTTGACCAGCTGGTATCACGAGGCCGACCGCTGGTCCGTCTCACCGGAGAGGTGTGTCTCCTCAGACCTGCTGCGGACTCCATGACCTGGAATGTGTTATGCATGCCTTTCCTGGCTGTCTGTTGGGCAACCAGGAAATTGCGTTTTCAAAAGCAATGCGCCGTCCAGGGCACTGACGATAGCTCCTTTTACTTGGCGATCAGAAGGCCGTATCGGAGTCGGTGCAATGCATCTTGCAACTCTGTGCCCATTGTACAATATTCTCATTGGCCTGTTGCGTATGTGCTGCCGGTTGGAGCTCCGACTTCCGCCATGGTCCGAGCAGCTGCCCGGCGCCTCCCCTCCTTCGGCCATTACGCAACGCTGCGATAAGAAGCCGTGTGTCCGCAGTGGTGGCGGATGTGACACGGAGGTGTACGATCCAACCAGCCTTCTTAATCGACGCAGAAATTCATGCCTCACGCATGCGAGCGACAAAGACAGCTGCTGAACACCAGCCTCGGCCCGCAGTCGATTCAGCTTCCGAAGGATGTGATGGCCAGATTAGCATCTACGTTGCGTAACGGCGATGCTCGACGACCCGCTCACGCTTGGCCGAACACCACGCTCGTATACGGCCGGGTAGCCAGATGCACTCCTTGTGTAATCGACGTGACCGCCGTAAAACACTAATGGAGCAACGCAGATACATTGC